TTTTTTTAAACTCTATAGTAGATAAGGTAAATTTGCGCTTACCTCTTATAACAACTGAGCCATTACCCCCTGATACATGAGATTGTGCATCTTCCGAAGCAGCTGTAACCAATTTGGAGCAATGCTCTTCACACTTTACATTTAACAAAGCAAATGTTGACTTATAGGCCTCGGTTGCTTCTAATTCAGCCACTAGGTCCTCTTCAGTAGCATTTTCCATCAAGTCAAAAATCTCAGAGTCAATTGTTCGGAGCTGCTCTTTTTTTTCTCGTAGAAGATCCCAGGACACCCTCACGGCCTCCACGTGACTGTCCGTCAACATTTTCTTCAACTCGTTGGCATTTTTCGTAAATACAGTACGAAGCACCTTCCTGTATTTCCTTTTCTGGTTTAGAACCATCTCGAAACAAACAGAAGACTTTTATAACGTAAGAAAGTCACCACGACAAGCCGTTCAAAAACAGCTAGCGTTTGCCAAAAGGGGGAAGCACGTAGCTAAAGTTTGTCTATGACCTTTGACGGGAACTTTCGCCCGCCCTTTTCACATAACAACACATTTTTTTTGACGTATTCATTTCATTGACTACTCGGCCAAACCGCGCTGTTGCCAGCTTATAAAATAATCCTAAATATAAAATAAATTATTATATCTACCTATTCTATCTATTATAAAATAATCCTAAACTATAAGGCAATGTTCGCGACAATGAAGTATAAAAGTAACTCTGGAATCGAAGACAATTCCCAAGTCTTCACTTTATCGATTCAATACAGTTCCATTTATTATGTAATTAAATAAATTTATGTTCAGCTTTCTAGAGTACATTACATTTAGAAACATGTAAAACCTAACCAAGCAAGAAGCAATCTTTGTTAGAATTAATCGTACGATAGATTTTTAAATCGTCAGTATATACTAATTTACTACAATTCAATTTACCAATTAGATGACCGATAAAGATGACAAAAAGAAGAGGTACTAAGTTTGACCATTGTGGTACTAATGACGTGAGATGAAATACTAGAGAGCTAAACCCCTCTTATTGATTCAACAAGTTTCGTAACAACAAAGATATGCCAATAAGTTTCGATGATAAAATGTAATGATCTATTTGATCAAATGCGTTTTGAAAATCTGAAATCTTGAAAATACTGACCTAAATCATCAATTGATTGGCATAAATATTGAGTCAAAGTCAAAGAAAAAATTTTTCAATCTTCCACAACTCAGCACACGTATTGTAATATTAAGTGGACTAGCGAGGACAGTCGTTATCTTTCAATTTTTTACTAATTACTTTTTTTATCTTATTTTTATTTTTATTTATTTATTATTATTTTCATTATCAGAGGAAATATAGACCGAACTGAAATATCTACCAAACACAACTACTATGGCTTGGGATTCCTTAAAAGTTTCACCGCCATAAGCCATTGAACCTGGAATTCTGGAGCTATTTCTCTTCTATTGAATATATGACCAAAATTTTGAGGGTTCATCTGGTATATTCATTTCGATATTGCTTAAGTACTGTTTAAATTTTAATTTGACCCCTAAGTGTTTTAAAATAGCACGAAAAAGTTATTAAGAGTATCATAAAAACTATTCAAAACATGTCAGAAACATCACAATCCAGTCTCAACAGCTGATCATACATTAGAGGAATGTTTGCCTTTCTAAATTTAAATTCTCTCCTTGAGCCACGACTCAGGCCAAAGTCTGCAGACTAATTAGACCGTCTTGTGTGCACGCTAGTCAATAGTGGGGGATGAAGAGGTACAGGCGTAACAATAGGGCACTCAGCAAGGTATGATCGAAAATACTAGATGCAGCCAACGATTCATGATATTGTATACATTGTTGTATTGTTTAAATCCTGTTGCTTCTTAAAAATAAACATTATAAATTTAAGTTAGTTCATAATTTGCATCTCGGGTACCAACAACGAAGACTAGAACTTTGTCATTGGTATTTTGAAAATATCAGAGATAGGCATTTTAATGAAAGTTTTAAATAGGCAAAATAGTCGTTACTGTACCCAGGACAACGAACATGTGGTATATCCTGTGGGGCAACAAGTCAGATTCGGCTTCATTATTTCATGTTTTATTTTAAGAAGTAATATAAAACTTTGTATATACGAAAGCAGCCTCACAGCAAATTGATATCTGGGAATACTGAAAATACCTTACCGGAAATATGCGAAGAAGTCCCGTGAGCTCAGCTAAACAGTATATTTTTTCAATTGGACGCATAAGATGACCTCCCAGGTTTCCCCACCTATTAGTTCTTGAAAACTTCTTATGGGGTTCTTCAGAATGAAATCAGCATCAAATAATTTCAAAAAGCAACTGAAAAGGAATTAATAAATAGGCAAGTCCGTCTGATTATGTTAGAACAAGAAAATTATGCCAACACTGCTTTATAATGGAGGTCAATTTGAGCAATTTATTTAGCTGTAAATTAAGATTTCTAAGAAATATAATTTTTAAACTTATACAAATTTAAACTAATTTTGCTGCGAGAGAAAAATAGATAACTGGTAAATATATAAAATTATATAAATAATAATAATAATAATAATTTATTGGCAATATTGAATACAGACCTGAATTAAAAACAAATTGCAAAGTGTTGTATATATTCGGAAAGCCCTTAGCGTGTGCAATACAATGTCGTAAAATTAAAAAGTGTGTCCCATTTAAAAATACACAACTTTATTTCATAATTCAAAACATTTTTCAAAAAAATCTAATCTTCTCCAATGGATTTCACGTAAAAAAAATTTCCACAGATGAACAGAAAATACAAATTGCGATTGTTATGTTTTCCTTAAAAAAACACTCTTTGCAGAAAAATAATACAAGTCAGGCAAATTTTTGTTTTATTTTTTTTGTTGATTACTCATCAGAACAACCATGCAAAAACTGCCTCCGCCTCTATCTTCAAAAAACGGATGAACTGGATAAAAGTGAGGGGAAAATTACGACTTGACTAAATTTGCGATATAGTTTGTTATGATTTTCGATTTTTTTTAACCTCGATTTAGCTTTCGAATTAGCTAACAAGAACAACCGAAATATAATCCAAGTAAAATAACAATTACAATTCTTATTTGTTGTAAATCTTAAATTTTAATCATTCGACATGCTTGTTGCAAAAAATGTATTATCTTCAAAAATTAAATCAAATTAAAATTAAAAACAATCCGTTTGCGTCATATATTATAAAATAATATCTGTATATTTCTTATTTAATTTGCAATGGTTGAGGAAATCTCTTGTGGAATTAGTTGAAATATGTACCTAAAATTGGTTCTTGTCCGTTCGTTATCGTCATCCCGATAAAACAAAAATTGTATAGCAGTTTTAATCCTCTGGGAAGATAATATAATTGTGTCACCTTATTCAATGTCACAGCTGTTTTCGAACATATGATGTGCCAGATTTTTCAACCTTCATTAGTTATCCGTGAATGTAAAAGGTTGAGTTTAATTGTCGTTGGTAATTCTGAGTACTGTTTCTTCTTTCTAAGAAAATAGTCACCAAAAAATATAGGATTTGGAATTTCAATAATAAAATAAAGCAACTTTAGTGTGTCAGTTTTAGCGAAAAAAGAGCTAGCTGCTTGCTTGATCGAGTTCAACAATTTATGTCATTGGAGCATTGCAGTCACCCGTATACTGATGATACTCAGATCTATTATTCATTTCCTGATACTAGAATTAAAGAAGCCGAAATTTCATTAACGCTTATCTATTCAAATTAAGTCAACTTCAATGTGTCAGTTTTATAGAATAGAAGAGACCTTCCTGCCAGCTACCAACTAGCTATAATTTACAGAGGTAGCTGTGAATTATAGTTTTGGTTTTTAGTAAACCTTAATGCTTATCGTTACTGCTTCAATAGAACTTAGCAATTCCAAAATAATGCTAACAAAATTCAAAACATACAGCACAAAGAAGTTGAAATGTGCAAAGAATTGAAGAAAGTGATGTTCGGCGATTTTTTAAATTTCTCATTTTGTAGCACAAAATGATCAAAAAAAGTTTTCTGAAATTTTATCCTCATTAAAATGACACAAATATTTTTCCTTGCATTTATAATTTCTGACAGATAAGTACACACCTTATTAAATTTATATATATATATATATATATATATATATATATATATATATATATATATATATATATATATATATATATATAACACTGGAACGAGTGTTCGAAGTGTTTTCGGAGCGCGAGCATTGAAGATGCCAAGTGAGATTTTGGCGAAACGACTGCAGGATTCCAGTCGGATGCAGGATTCCAGTCGGAGTTCAACGAGCGAACGGATGATATCCCGGAATATAGTGTCATCACATTTTTCCATCCGTGAATCAATACGTGAGAATATATATATATATATATATATATATATATATATATATATATATATATATATATATATATATATATATATATATATATATATATATATATATATATATATATATATATATATATATATATATATATATATATATATATATATATATATATATATATATAAACTTTTTGAAAAATATAGGAAACACTCCTATACAACGGCAAATAACGTAATACTAATCTAATCTAATCGCCTACTATTTTCATTCAAAAATTATTATTGTTTATGTTGTTTTTGTTTATTATTGTTCATGTTGTCTTTTTCTGTATTTTTGTTTATTTTGATTTTTAATACAATAATTTACTGAATCAGAACTTTGATCGTTTTAAAATTGTTTTCTGGTCTTTTTTGCAAATATATCAATGTGATTTTCTTGTTCTGTATTGTTTCCAAACAAAAGCTTTATTTATTTATATGTATTCAAATTAAACTTGTCGGTTCAAGTCTATAACATCATAATAAATATTAAAATTTCTTAAAGTGATATTTATTTAATATAATATATATAAATAGACTTACTATACTCCTCCTATATGTCTCAGCACCATCATTATCATGATTAAGCTTCCCAATCTTGCATATTTTTGGATTTTTTATATTTAGAAAGAAGTTGGTAGCGATGTTTCTTCATCGCTCTTAAAACATCTGTAAACCAGGAAGCTCTAGGTCTTGTTACCCGTTTAGTGTAAATACGAACTTAGAAATCAAAAAGCGCCAAAATTTTCCCCGTCACTTTCGTCAATTTAGCTTAATATTAGTGTCATAAAAAAGTTCACCTCAGTCTACATCGCAAAGGTTAGCATTAAAGCGTTCTCTATCAAGATGTTTTAGGTCCCTATACTTAACGAACTTAGTGTGCAGTAAATTAGTTGGTGGTCAGAATAACTATGGATGTATCGATGTTGTACGCTCCTGTTTAAAAGTCAAATATTGGACAAAACGATAATCAAGCTGACTTTATCTGTTGAGTATCTTGTGGAACTTAGGACGATCTGTTCAAAATCAAAGGTATCAAGCAAGTTGTCAAACTGAGCAATTATATTGGAGATCCTTAAAGGGTTTATGTTGATGTCACACATTACAACTAACTTATTCGCTAATGGCATAATACTTGCAATTGAGTTTTCCAGCATTTGAAGAGCAGTAAAAAAGCGTGGTGAGTGATAAAAAAATCCTAAGCCTAATTTAATATTTCCTAACGCTGCAAATCAGACCGCCACATACAATTCGGAAACTCCCAAAAATGTCAATCTACAACTGGTTTAATAAAATTTTTACTTCATCCAAATTTGGCAATAAGGACCTAACGTTGATATGACCAAATTTTAAATTACTAAATAAAGTGTTCTTTTGAGACCCCATTGCAAAAACTTCATACTACCTTTCAGCTGCTCTTCATTTTTTATAGTTATTGGGCTGGCTTCATCGTTATTACGAACTAATATTCTCCCCTCTCCATGCCGCACACTAGCCGAGAAACTTAAGTTGTTTGGCCTGTTTAAAGACCTGGTACGTTTCTTTGGTTAGACTCCGACTCTGCGACTCCTACTTTCTTTAAGGTTAGACTCCCTTTTTTAGCTCCGGTTTTCAGAAACTCATGCTCAGGCGTCACAGTCACAAGCGGTGTATCCAGATTGATAGTTTTAATGTCTTCTTCTTTGCTGTCGTCCTTAGTTAATAAGCATGTTACTCTTGATTTTCTTGGTTTTCATACTTTCTTCGTGGTTAATTATGCTTCTAAGTTTTCTCACTTCCTCCGAAAGTATTTTATTATCAATGGACACTGCTATAACCATGTGTTTCAACTTTTACTCACCTCATCAAATTAATCAGTCATAAACTCAAGGGATTTTCTAAATCTCTTCCTGGAAATCGCGGATTTTAATTCAGCGACTTTACTCAATAATTCCGGCGAAAACTGAAGCCGTGTTCTTCTCTGCTTCACAATCAGAACAAGTCCAGAATTTTTTTAGGCGCCATAAGCCTGGCGTCATCATCGGAAACTTCACCAGGTTCAAGGTGAAAAATGCATTTGAAGTCACCACAAAAAGGTTTTAAACATATTTTGTGTGATGTGTGATCCGCGTAAATTGTGAAAATATGCAAAACTTGTTGAACTGTTGAATTTGGCAACGCCGAACCAATTCCGCTAGCTGTAGTATCGTTTTTTGGCGGTCGTTTCAATGGTCAAAGGATTACACCACCACTCCTTGGTCGTATGTAGCTGAGAGTAATCCTAAAGAAATGGTGTCACATGTACAATCACTTATAGTTCACCGTTATAAATTACCTAATAGAACAAACGCTAATTATTTTAATCAAATTCGTTGGTAAAATTCGCACTTTTATCCAACAACAAAACAACACGTTCATCTTGCGGATTTGCACTAGATCTAACGCTTTAAATTCCGTGTGACCTATTAATTATGTTTGTAATAGCTAGAATATAATTTTTGCCCTATATAAAATTTCAATAACGCTGCTGCTTTTCCATAAAACTGGCAACATTGCTTCATTAAAAACTTTTTGAGCGACTGAACAAGTCCTGTATCATAAAAAATGCTTGCCGGTGGTGGTCATTTTCATCGTGGTCTAAATTCGTTGTGATCAAGGATTCCAAAAAACAAATTTCTAAAAATACGTTTTGTATAATCGAACATTGGTGCATTAAAACTGACACTTTTGGCTTTTCCACCATAAATATAAACTGTCAAATTTCCACATGACTTGTCATATTCGTATTAATAAAAACGTTTTGCGTTCCCACTTGCAGCGTTTATTATTCGTTAGCAATGATAAAAATTGTATACCTCCATAATTTGTGGGAGTGGTCTAATAATTCTAGTTATCACCACCGTTAGTATTTAAGCGCTCAACACTTTTGTAAGCTTATATTTCTAAAGAATAAACCTAATAAATCGCTTTTTAAGTTGAGTATAATTAGGCATTTTCAGTCGTCAGTTTCATTGGACGACTATCGGTGTCGCGTTTCCCATTAAGTTTTGCATTGATTTTTATCTCGCTTTATTTCAGGGTTAAGTAATTAGAACCATGTCCGGAAGAAATCAAGGAAATACGCAGATGATCGAGGATTTGCCGATCGGACCTTTAGATCATTACAGGAAACAGGCCAGGTTTGACTGGAAGCAGATGAAGTTGTTCTTCGAAGATCCAGATTTACTTAAGATAAAGGTAAGTGAATACAAAATAAATAATTAATATCCATACTAAATATACCTACAAGGCAATTTCATTGGTGTCTCTATGTTCCTAATAATATCAAAAATGTTTAACGGTTTTTTTTGCCAATACATATAAGCATATATAAACCAGGACTTTGAGAACGTAGTCGAGTTCTTCCAGGTTCACCAACTGAAAATAAATACTGAAAAGTCGTCCCTTTTACTTTTTGGCAATAACAAACATAACATTCAGAATAACATAAAAAAATATATGAAAATTTAATATCTTAATGATTTGAGACCATGTTTAGGCAATTTAAATTTTAAACATCAAAATGCATCTGAACATACCTAAAGAGTACAGAAAGAGCCCCCACGTTTTATACCTAATATCAGAAGGTACGATCCTGTTTCTTCTAGATTAAAAGCCAACAATAAGCTTTCGAGGGAAAATTGTCAAACAAAATTATTGTTAACCAATGTTCCCCATATTTATTGTAAAAATTACTGGTCCATGTTGTAAAATAAAAACGTTTGAAGAGATCTTTGAATTTTCAACTTTATAATATCGTACTATTTAGAAATTTTCTCTGTTCCTCCTGCGTCGGTTGTTTGGTTGCTTATAGATTTCTCAGATTTGCAATAACTTTAGTTTTATCGAATAAGATTTGGTGACCGGTTTCTTGATTGTACAACTGCCGATGAGTTTACTTGTCGCAGTCTTAAGCCTCTTTCTTGTTCTTTTAATTTAGTAAATATTTTTGGTCCTGTCTCTATAATATATTCTTTGACGCATATGTCTCTACATCTTGAAATGGCTTCCATCTTATCCCGATTCGAGTTCGATTCCCTTTTAAATATGACTCATAACAAAGTCGAAAATTTTACTAGTCTCTCTACCCAACTGTCAAACCCTGTGGTACTAAACAAAACTAACCAACTTTTTGAGATGGAAAAATAAGTTCTTGCAAATGGTTGCTTGGTCCTTGCCCCACGTACAATACTAAGGAAATCATTTTAAACTTCGAGGCTATCCTAGTCAAACTGCCATCTCAAACAGCTAATAAAATTTGATTTCAATCTGCAAAAAAACTTTAAAAAATCCAAACGTTCTAAATTTAACATTCCACAGTCTGAACGCGTTGCCCTAAAATCTCTGACATCTAATCCTAAAAAATTCAAACGTTCTAAATTTAATATTCCACATCCTGAACGCGTTGCTCTAAATTCTCTTAAATCTAATTTCGACATCGTAATTTTAAAAAGAGATGAAGCTATTGCACAGTGTTCATGAACAGTACTGACCTTCTGGAAAAAATTTAAGATATTCTTACAGAAATATCTTATGGAAAGCAATGCCACACTTGGCACTGTTGTCCTTTCTTACCCTGAAAAAGTCTGTCACCCCTCATAACTCCATAAATTTCTCATCTCTACGGACTCAGATCCACAAACGAAGATCCTCTCGAGATATTCTTAGCTATTTAAACCCTATACATACGTTTTAGCATTATTTTAGAAACTAATAACAATCTCCCATTCTTAGATATTCTTATTAATTGAAAATCGGACCTAACATTGGGTCATTCTGTTTACAGACCGATACTGAAATGCATTTTCTCATCATCATATGGACACTTGCAATATAATACTGCTATAGTTAGTTTCATTTAGTTCAGTGAAATTTTCAATTATTGCATCAAAGTCGAGTGCATATGTATGTATGTATTGATCATTTTTTATATACCAATTATAAAAACCTTCTTATATGGGGTGGCCAAAAATTTATCCCAATTTAATGACAACTCCAAGTAGCTATAACTTGATTAACTTATATGCAACCCTGTCTTTTTTTAACTTACCAGGGAATGTACTTTTCAATTGCCTCTCGAATAGTCTGACATCGAAATAGAACGTCTAAAGAAACGTTTGAAAGGAAAATGGGATCTGGCAGACAATGTAGCTCAGAAGATCAGGCGCTCCTTCGGATAGTCGAGGATGATCCTTTCCAAAGCGCAAACAACTCAAGAATTCGGTCGCAATTTCCAGGAAGTAAAATTATAATTTGTCGAAGAATTAAGGCATCGCATCTCAAATGCCGGACTGCTGCGGCAAAAAAACAGACACATACTCCCCAACAGAAGCAAGCACGACTTATTTTGGCTCAAGCGCAAGAACAGCGGTTTCTGGGATATAGTCATATGATCCGATGAAAAGATCTTTCCGTCTTAAAAAAAAAAGTGAAATCAGAATATACAGAGGAGAAAATCAGCGTTTCCACAGTCGATTTGTCGACAGGTACAAAGCTTCAGGTCATTTCAGTGTAAATGTATGGGATTGAATTTCATCCAGAGGAATGAGAGTGGTATAGCGGATTGAGAAAATATTTGTTGGTCAAACGATTGCCGAAATATAGCAGAACGTTATGGTTCCCAGTGTGGAACACCTTTACCCGAAAAATAATTATATTTTCCAGCAAGACAACTGTTCTGTCGACACTGCAAACGTCGTTATACAATTGCTCCGACATGCCAACATTGAATCCTTGCCATGGCCAAGTAACAGCTCTGACATCAACCCGATCTAAAACATCTGGGGAACAATGGTGAAACGGCTGTATCAAAGAAATATAATGACTCAAAACAGCGAGCAGCTATGGCAAGGCATTCAGGAAGTATGGAACATTTAATGAAAACTTCATAACTCCTTTCATGACCATGAGCCGAACACTTCACGCTGTGATTGATGCGGATCGAGATTGCAGAAAATATTAAATTCGTTCCAAGTGTTTCTTCTTGTGCCCCTGCTGATAAAAATCAACCATCTTCTAATTTTTGTCAACCTGTTTATTTAAACGTTAAAAAGTTATATTTTTATTTTTAAAATAAATAAATTTCTGCCTGAGTCTGTTTAATTTCGTCGTTTTTTAATAATAAGCCTTACGAGAACAACCAACGATAAACAATGAAATTGAACAAAATACTGAATACTCTTATTATTTGCATAATACAAGCATAATATATTTTTCGACGGACTCTCCCCACTAAAACTTTAACGATGTTATTGCCTATTGCTATTGGGTAAAGCCATTAACAAAAAATATATTCTTACTTGAGTGACAAGGCAGGAGTGGACGAGGTATACTTCTTTCTTTCGAATATATTTCTTGAGTGTTTATCATTTGTGGCAGTGTTAAATAGTTACTGTGCTTTTCGAAAAAGTTATTTTACGGGAATATAACAATGTAACAATATAACAGGTTGTGAAAAATGTTTATGAAACTTTAATCAATAGAGGACTTATTAAACAAGAAACTTAAAAAAAAACAACTTTCAATATTATTAATAGTGCAGAACTGAAAAAACGGAATAAACGTAGTGATTTTCAAACTCACCGTATGGACAATGGTGATCAGGACCTAATAATATGGAAAATATATTGTTTTTATTAAAGCGAAGTTGTTTCTACCTTAGATAAACTGGAAAAAAAGCTAGAAAAAGATAAAATCAATATAAATATAGAGTTGCTTGCAAAATGGGTTTTAACTACCGCAAAATAGACAAAAGGCTAGTAAAGGGTGTTTTTTTCGATATATTGAACTGTAAGTTGGCATTACTGTTCAAGATGGCTACTGATTTAACAGCTATCAAGTGATCTATTCTCAGTTTGGTTTGGCAATTCATCATGAATAGACTCACGCCTGAACAACGCTTGCAAATAGTGCAATTTTTTTTCGAAAATAATGGTTCTGTGCGGAATACGTCGACAAAATCGTCCATCAGAACAGTTAATTCGATTAACCATGGAATGTTTTCGCACCACGTTTACTATTATTGATAACTCGCATCCCCAGAGACGCCGTACGGTGCGTACGGAAGAAGCTATTGCTGTTGTAAAGCGTATCATTGAGGAAGACCCGAATGAGTCCATACGCCATCGAGCAGAGGAATTGGATCTGTGTCCATCCACTTTATGGAAGATTTTACGGAAAGATCTTGGTTTACGTGCTTACAAAATCCAGCTCGTGCAAGAATTGAAGCTAAACGATCATCAAGTAAGATTCGTCGAATGGGCCCAAAACGAGATTGCCGTTGTTACCGATTTTCATAAGCGAATTTTGTTTATCGTTGAAGCGCACTTCTGGTTGAATGACTACGTCAACAAATAAAACTGCCGCATTTGGAGCGAAGATAATCCTCAAGTGTATGTCGAAACACCGTTACATTCAGAAAAACTGACTGGTGCGCTTTATGGACTGGTGGAATCATTGGTCCGTACTCCAAAAACGATGATGGCCGGAACGTTACAGTCAATGAATATCGGTATAGAGCTTTGATTACTAACTCTTTCGTTCCTGAATTGAATAACCATGATGTCCAAGAGATGTGGTTTCAACAAGACGGCGCAACATATCACACAGCTCGTGCCTCAATCGATTTATTGAAAGACAAGTTTGGTGATCGCCTAATTTCACGTTTTGGACCTGTGAATTGGCCTTCAAGATCTTGTGATTGAACACCGCTAGACTACTTTCTGTGGGGCTATGTAAAGTCATTGGTCTATGCGGATAAGCCACAAATGCTTGACTATTTGGAAGGACAACATTCGCCTTGTTATTGCCGATATGCGGCCACAAATGTTGGAAAAAGTCATCGAAAATTGGACGTCCAGATTGGACTACATCCGCGCCAGCCGTGGTGGTCATATGCCAGAAATCATATTTAAAATGTAATGCCACAAGATTATCTTTCGAATAAATAAAATTCATGTCAATCGAATAATCCATCGTTGTTTTATTGCAACTTAAAGTTCTATACATCGAAAAAAAAACACCCCTTAGTAATGGAACCCTACAGATTACTCACTGGGCGTTTAGCCTGAACAGGCTAAGCCTATTGTTTTACTTCTTCCTCCATCTCATTGCATGTTTAAAACCATAGAACATTTGTGGAATCATGTAAAATCAAAGGTCAGAGCAAAAAATATTACTACTTTAAGTCCCAGTTTTAT